ACTATTACTACTAGTACTATTACTACTACAACTACTATTACTATAGTACTGCAATACTAATTCTACTGCAGTTTACGTTTGTTTCATTTCATTTATAATCTGACCACTTTGTTTATTTGGACCTGTCCCCCTGTCCCCTCACCTGTCCCTCCCTCACCTGTCACCTGTCCCTCACCTGTCCCTCACCTGTCCCTCACCTGTCCCTCACCTGTCCCCTCACCTGTCCCTCACCTGTCCCCTCACCTCACCTGTCCCTCACCTGTCCTCACCTGTGTCCCCTCACCTGTCCCCTCATCACCTGTCCCTCACCTGTCCCTCACCTGTCACCTGTCCTCACCTGTCCCTCACCTGTCCCTCACCTGTCACCTGTCCCTCACCTGTCCCCTCACCTGTCTGTCCCTCACACCTGTCCCTCACCTGTCCCCTCACCTGTCCCTCACCCCTCACCTGTCCCTCACCTGCCTCACCTGTCCCCTCACCTGTCCCTCACCTGTCCCCTCACCTGCCTCACCTGTCCTCACCTGTCTCCTCACCTGTCCCTCACCTGTCCCCTCACCTGTCCCTCACCTGTGTCCCTCACCTGTCCCTCACCTGTCCCTGTCTCCTCAGACGTGGACGAGTGTGTGTCTCCTGGTCTCTGTGGTCCAAACTCGTTGTGTTTAAACACTGTGGGCTCCTACAGCTGCAGGTGTCACCAAGGCTCCAACCTCAGTCCACAAGGACACTGCACAGGTACTGGACCTGGACTGGACTGGACTGGACTGGACCGGGACTGGACTGGACCTGGACTGGACCTGGACTGGACCGGACTGGACCTGGACTGGACCGGGACTGGACCTGGACTGGACCGGGACTGGACTGGACCGGGACTGGACCGGGACTGGACCTGGACTGGACCTGGACTGGACCTGGACTGGACTGGACTGGGGACTGGACCGGGACTGGACCTGGACTGGACCCTGGACTGGACTGGACGGGACTGGACTGGACTGGACCCGGACTGGACCGGGACTGGACCGGGACTGGACCCGGACTGGGACCTGACCGTGACTAGACCAGGACAAATCCTCCTGGTCTGTGGACTCTGTGGTGAGAGAAACAGAAACGTGATCTGTGTTTCTGCAGCTGGACTCGGGCACAAAGGTCACACACTGACCTCTGACCTCTGACCCTGAAGAGGCTCTGACAGCACGTGGACGAGCGAGAGAGAGAGAGAGAAAAAGCGACTTTTACAGACATATTTTTTATATTTATGCAGATTTTATTTTTTTTTGTACATTTTATAGACATAATTTTACACTTTTACAAACGTATTTTTACACTTCTACAGATGTATTTTTATTTACAGACGTTCGCTCACATGTGGTGCTCGTTTTGTAGATGAGGCTCCACCACCAGAGCGTTTAGATCCAAGATCCAACGTTTGACCAAAAAAAACCCAAACAAATATTTACATAAAGTACAGATACGTAAAACTTCCTACAGAACTTTTACTTTTGACTGACAGACTCCAGTGAGGTGAGGACCAGAGGAGCAGAGTTTGATCCTCCTTCATTGTAACAGGGACTGAAAAATGGAAACAGCTTCTCCCTGAAGCAGCAGCAGGTGAAGGAGCAGAGAAGATCTACAGAATCTGTGTCATAAACAGAGACCAGACCCTTTCCATAGTCCACAAACACCCCGACCTTCTGAGCAGCTCTCTGAGGAGACAGAAGGACAGGAGGACCTGCACAAGCTTTGTACTGATCTTTATTTATCAACCTAATGCTCCAGATTCCGTTCTTAGGGCTCAGAGTGATCATCCCCTTCCTGTTGATGGACTCTTGGGCCACTCCTAAATCCCACTCTGTTTTCCCTTTGACCTGAACCTCAAAGTAAAACCTGCCTGAAGAGAAACTCTGTTTTCCTGAAACACAAGGACAAGGATCAAACCTCAGAGGAGAATCTGGGAGCTTCTTCTTCTTCACTCCAGTGTCATGAACCTGTTTGAGATCTTCAGACAGAGCGAGTCGAGGATGAGCCGTGTCTGGGTCCAGAGTCACCTCCACCGCACTCTGCTGCGCTCTCTGGAGTTCAAATCTTAAAGTCTGAACTTCAAACTCCTGAGGGAGACTGTTCTTCAGCTCAGACAGAGTCCGGGACACACTGCCCTCACACGTCTCCGGCTCAAAGTTCACGCTGCTCCACTCCTTAAGCCCAGCAGGGGGCGTGAGTGCAGGGCAGCGCTGTAGAAAGTGGAGGGGGTCTTCAGAGCGTGAGAGACGTTGGGCCTCAGCGCTGCTCTGCTCCAGATCACAGATCTCCTGCTCCAGCCGCTGCAGCAGATCCTGGGCTCGTCTGTGGCTCCGGCTCTGCTTCTCCTGGAGCTCCTCTAAGAAGAGGTCCATACTCCTCTGAACAGACTGCATGAGAGCAGTGAAGACCTGCAGCCCCGCAGACCTCTCTCTGAGGACCTCTGTCTCACTCAGCTCCAGGAGGCTCTGGATCTCCTGGATCTTCTGCCTCCTCTGCTCCACCATGTGCTGGCTCTGAGCCTGAGTCTGCAGCAGAGAGGACCTCCTGCGCTCACACGCCTCCTCCAGAGACAACAGCTCATGGTTCTTGTGCTCTAGAACGGAGCACATCATGCACACGATCTTCTCATCAGTGTCACAGAAGAGCTCCAGGGGGCGCTGGTGTGTGGGACACATCCTGTCTTCCAGGTTTTCCACAGGCTCCATCAGCTGGTGTCTTTTCAGCCCAGAGACTGTGAGATGAGGCTGGAGGTGGCTCTCACAGAAGGAGGACAGACACACCAGGCAGGACTTGAGGGCCTTCAGCTTGGGCTCAGAGCACACGTCACACTGCACCTCTCCAGGTTTGGACACTTGTGACTTGGACTTTTCAGCCTCTAGTTTAAACTGAGAGACCATCTCCAGGAGCAGAGTGTTCACACTGAGCTCAGGTCTTGTGCCGTAGCTCCTGTTGCACAGAGGACATCTGTAGAACATTCCAGTGTCCCAGGTCTGGGAGATGCAGCGTCTGCAGAAGTTGTGTCCACATGGAGTGGACACTGGCTCTTCAAACACGTCCTGACAGATGGAGCACAGGAACGTCTCCTCAGAGCTCCGGTCTCTGGTGGAGGACATGTCTGAAACAGAAGGTTACTATAGTTACTCTCATCATAAAAGTCAAACTCTTATTGTGACAGGAAAGAGGAGAAGAGCTTTTCTTTTGCAAAGCTGCAGACAGGATGTGGTGAAGAGGAGTGTGTGGTGTGATCATGACTCCAACATTTCAAACAGGATGTGAGGAAAAGACCAGAGACTCACTTTAGATCCACAGTGATCAGGAACAACACCATGAAACACATTTATTTACAAACTCTACCATTTTAAATCATCGTCTTTAACGATGGAACAGGAAGAAGAACAGGACACTTCTCACACCAGGAACGGGACATTTTCAAATCCTCGTCTGTTTGAGCAAAACTAAAGTGGAATTTAACTCAGAAACTTCCAACAGGAACAAGAGAATTTACAGCAGAAAAAAGTTTGAACTTGAGTGAATTTAAATCACAATAAAACTGAAGGTCAAAGTCCAAGTGTGAAGAAGAAGAACGACGAGTCTGGACGAGGAAGAAGAAGAACCAGGTTCACACTCGTCTGTTCAGTTTGAGATTTAAACTCGACTGCAGTAAAAACTCAGACTAAACTAAAGTGAGTGGAGCTGTGACCTGTGACCTGAAGACTGGAGTTTGTTTGAAACTCTGTGGGTCTGTGTTTACTTTTGTGGAACGTCCGGAATTTATACACATCCTGAATCATGAGACGACGACACGAGTTTACTCGAGTAGATTTCCTGAACTCTGTGCTGTGTCACAATCACATGTGCTCAACATGACAACAGAAATATTTATGTCCAGAGCAGCTGCAGAACTCAGCTCTTAAACACCAGTCTGCACCTGAAGTGACTCAAGTCTCATTTTTCGTTCCTGTTCCTGTATCTGATCTTTTAATGACAGTTTGAAATAGAGACGGACGTTTGATGAACTTTTCTTAATCGATCGTCGGAAGAATTAACGATCGATTATCGATTAATCATGAACGTTTTTATATTAAAATGATCATCATTATTATTACTATCTGCACTAATCTGCATCAATAAATTCAACTTTACGACATATAAACATAACGACTCTAGATCCACATCAGCTGTTTGACATTATAATGTGTTTAATTCAGTTTTGTTCAAATCTCACAGAAACAAAACTTAAAACCACATCACTAATTTACATAAACTAAGTGAAGATAAAACTCCAGCTCTTGTGTCGCTGATGTGGTTCAACTTGTGTTGGATTAAAAGACATGACTCAGGTGAATACAGGTCAGTGTGACCAGATTTGTGTTTGTCAAATCCTGGTTAAATCCACATTTGTGCTTCGGTTCGTTACAGACTGACCCACTGTTTGTGTCTCGCTCCTTCTGATGCAGAGACACATGTACACACCTGTTTGGTCATGACACACACACATACATTCAGTTTGTCCAGTAAAATGAACAGAATCCATGAAATTCTTAATGATCAATTATCGACAGTGTCAGGAGTAACAGATTACATGTACCAGAGTAATCAGAGTACAAATGATGAGTAACTGTATTCAGTTACAGTTACTGTTTCAGTGAGTGGGAATTGGATTACAGTTACTTTGTTGAAATAAATGGATTAAACACAGAGGGATTTTACTGTTTTAACATTTTGGGCTAAATCCCTTTTTTTTTTTTTTTCCCCTTTTTTGTTTCTTGGTAATTAAACCACTCTAAACCAGGACTAAACCAGAACTAAACCAGAACTAAACTAAACCAGGACTAAAAGGACTAAACCAGAACTAAACCAGGTCTAAACCCTAAAAGAACTAAACCAGGACTAAACCAGAACTAAACCAGGACTAAACCAGAACTAAACCAGAACTAAACCAGGACTAAACCAGACTAAACCAGGACTAAACCAGGACTAAACCAGAACTAAAACCAGACTAAACCTAAACCAGAACTAAACCAGGACTAAACCAGGACTAAACCAGGACTAAACCAGAACTAAACCAGGCTAAACCAGGAACTAAACCAGGACTAAACCAGAACTAAACCAGGACTAACCAGGACTAGAACTAAACCAGAACTAAACCAGACTAAACCAGGACTAAACCAGGACTAAACCAGGACTAAACCAGGACTAAACCAGAACTAAACCAGGTCTAAACCAGGACTAAACCAGGACTAAACCAGGAACTAAAACCAGACTAAACCAGGACTAAACCAGAACTAAACCAGGTCTAAACCAGAAACTAAACCAGGACTAAACCAGAACTAAACCAGGACTAAACCAGAAAACTAAACCAGAACTAAACCAGACTAAACCAAACTAAACAGACTAAACCAGAACTAAATCAGGTCTAAACCAGAACTAAACCAGGTCTCAAACAGGTTTTATCAGGACTAAATCCTGCTGTGTGGACGTGTTTCTTCGTTTTCTATCAATAATATTTTTAATTTGGTTCAGTAAAGTTTGGACTTTTTATTTTCTTTTATCAGATAAAACTTCTTATGTGAAGATTTCCTCGTCTTTGTTTCTCTACAACAAATCAAGTAATCCAAAGTAATCAGATTACATTACTCACTTTAAGTAATTTAATGGATTACGTTACAAACTACATTTTGGTGTGAGTAATCTGTAATCTGTAGGGGATTACATTTTAAAAGTAAACTTCCCAACACTGATTATCGACTAATCGACTCATCATCCCCAGTCTGAACCACACAGATCTGATCTTTAACATGTGACTTGAGTGTGAACAGTCAGGTCACATTCATCCACCTACACGTCATCAACAAGACACAAACGTCACTATTCTGCACTGAAGTAGAGAAAACTGTTCATGATCCATGTGACTGAAGTGAAGCACATCTCCACTCACCACAAAACACCACCACCAAAAACCTGCTCCTTCTCCTTCTCAATCTCCTCCTTAAAACAAGTCAGTTGTTCATGTTGTGGCTCCGGTACGAGAGGAACTTTAAAATCTCCAGGTGCTCGATGCTGCGTCCATGTTTGTTCAACTTGTGTAAACACAGAGACGCTCGCTGCGGTTGACGTCGTCGTGTCTCCAGTGTCACATGTGGGACACTTTTGGACCGTTTAATGTTCACACTGGAGAGTCCATTAAAGTAAATGTGAAATATTTGAGTGGTGCAGAAGTAACGGTGACTGACATGATCCAGACAGAACAGAGGCTCTTTGTGCAGGAGACATGCGCAGTAGAGCCAAGTGACAGTGAGTGTGTTTACAGCTCATCAATAACCCGGTTATGTGGTTTTTTGAGTCTCCCGGTTTCTTCATGGTTCATGTAAACGCAGTAACCTGGTTTCAGTGTCCTGGTTATTAGAAACCAGGTTAATGTAGCTGGTTTATTCTGATAGTAACAGGACACTGTGACATGTAAACACAGTATCCTGAATACTGCAACATCAAGCTGAGTCACATGTGTCCAAAAGACACTTTCCAGCCTTTCACCACAACAGTAGCGACATAAATAAATAAAGTGACCACACGAGTAAAATGACTGTAAATTTAAGAGCTGCACTAAACCTGCACACGTGCCGTCTGCACTCGTGTGACGCTGAAAAGATAAAACATGAACTATCTCTTAGTCTCTGTTCAGTCTGCAGGTTTAACGCTCAATTCAGATTTTTTGGTGAAATCCGATGTTTTTTCGAGGTCGTTCACATTTCCAGTTAAATGTGACTTGTATGTGACTCCAGTGTGAACATTAAACGGTCCAAAAGTGTCCCACATGTGACACTGGAGACACGACGACGTCAACCGCAGCGAGCGTCTCTGTGTTTACACAAGTTGAACAAACATGGACGCAGCATCGAGCACCTGGAGATTTTAAAGTTCCTCTCGTACCGGAGCCACAACATGAACAACTGACTTGTTTTAAGGAGGAGATTGAGAAGGAGAAGGAGCAGGTTTTTGGTGGTGGTGTTTTGTGGTGAGTGGAGATGTGCTTCACTTCAGTCACATGGATCATGAACAGTTTTCTCTACTTCAGTGCAGAATAGTGACGTTTGTGTCTTGTTGATGACGTGTAGGTGGATGAATGTGACCTGACTGTTCACACTCAAGTCACATGTTAAAGATCAGATATGGATCAGTTTCAGAAGCACAGATCCAAGTGTCCTGGTCACATGTGAAAACATCACATCTGTGTGGTTCATTAAAAGATCAGATACAGAAACATAGAGACAAAACATCAGATTTGGGAAACTTCAGGTGCATCTGAACGCAGACTTATACTGTACAACACACAGAACAGACTCACCATCATCAGCACCTCTTCTGTCACAAAACAACACACATAATCCACAGAGTCGAGTCTTTTAGTCCAAAAGAATCTGAATCACATCAGCGACACAAGGAGCAGCTGTTTTTATCACCACTAACAGTTTATGCTAATTAGTCATGTGGTCTTAAGTTTCATTTCTGTAAAACATAAACAAATGTGATCAGAGTTGAATGATCTGATCAAACCTGCTGATGTGTCTCTAGTGTTTATGGTTTAGATGTTGTAAAGTTGAGTTTATTTATGCAGAAGATTTGACTGAAGAATCTGTAGGTTTGATGTGTGCAGTGGATTGTGGGAGATCTCGTAGCTCCTTAGCTTCTTATGCTAAAGGAGCTCACGGTTTGTGTTTTTCCTGGTTTATGAAATTGATTTAAGTTAATTTTTGCGCTTGTGCATTTGTAAGATTATGTCAAGAAACCGGGACACTCCATTTGATCATGTCCACGTGGATATGAGCGTCCGGTTTCTCAGTGAACATGTAAACACAGTAAATACTGACAGAACCTGGACACTGATGTGTATATAAACACACTCTGTGGTGCAGGAGGAACAGGAGCAGCAGATCCTCACACACTAGACTAGAACCTCTCACACTTCAACACAAACATCTGAATATAGAATCACAGCGAGAAGAAGTCACAGAAACACAAACCACCAACAAACCTCACATTTATAATCCAGAAAAAACAAGAAACTCTGTTTATCCGACGAGCAGAGACTGAGGAGCCAGTCTGGTCACATGTGGACCTGGACCGGACCTGGACCGGACCTGGACCGGACCTGGACCGGACCTGGACCGGACCTGGACCGGAACCTGGACCGGACCTGGACCGGACCTGGACCGGACCAGGACCGGACCAGGACCGGACCAGGACCGGACCTGGACCGGACCGGACCGGACCAGGACCGGACCTGGACTGGACCAGATCTAGACCCGGTCTAACCCTGGTCCTGTTGCAGAGGAGGCTGTGGATCAGTGTCAGAGCGGCAGACACGACTGTGACGTTTCTGAGCGCGCTCAGTGCACCTACACCGGAGGCTCCTCCTACTCCTGCTCCTGTCGCCACGGATACAGCGGCGACGGGCGACGCTGCACAGGTGAGACACGAGGGGGAGGGGACAGGTGAGACACAGGGGGAGGGGACAGGTGAGACACAGGGGGAGGGGACAGGTGAGACGAGGGGGACAGGGGAGGGGACAGGTGAGACACAGGGGGAGGGGACAGGTGTCTTTTCATGGTCTCGGTCCATGTGTCCCTGTCCGTTTGTGTTTCAGACGTAGACGAGTGTCAGGCGTCGCCCTGTCACCAGGAGGCGTCATGTTCAAACTCTCCAGGCTCCTTCACCTGCCGATGTAAAACCGGATTCACCGGAGACGGAACCAAGTGTGAACGACAACGTGAGTCTGAACCAGGACTAGACCAGGACTGAAACCAGGACTAAACCAGGACTAAACCAGGTCCACATGTTCCTCACATGTGTCAGATGTTCCTCCTGTGGCTTCAGGGCCGTTTGTTTCTCTGTGGGACATTTCCTGAGTTTTACGAGCTCTGGACCTGCTCATTACAGACGCAACCTGCTCCTCGTCCTGGTCCAGTCCTGGTCCAGTCCTGGTCCAGTCCTGGTCCAGTCCTGGTCCAGTCCTGGTCCAGTCCTGGTCCAGTCCTGGTCTGACTCTCTGTCTCTTCAGCTCGTGGTCCGTCTCGCTGTGAGGAGGACCGGGCTCGGGCTTTGGTCCAGAGTCGGTCTTCGGGAGGGTTCTGGTCTTTGTTCAGACCTCGGTCTCAGGTCTGGGTCCCGCGCTGTGACCCGGGCGGAGGCTTCGAGGCGACGCAGTGCGACGCCGACCACTGCTGGTGCGTGGACCCGGACGGCGCCGAAGTGTCAGGCTCAAGGGTCAGCGGCACCGACAGCCCCCCCCACTGTGAGGACCACGCTCATTTACATAAACACCACACTCATTTACATAAACCACACACTCATTTACATAAACCACACCCTCATTTACATAAACCACATTTAACATAAACCACACCCTCATTTACATAAACCACACATTACATAAACCCCTCATTACATAACATTAACATAAACACACGCTCATTTACATAAACTGCATGACTCATTTACATAAACCACACACTCATTTACATAAACCACACCTCATTACATAACAACGTTCATTAACATAAACCACACCCTCATTTACATCTACATAACCATTAACACACATTTACATAAACCACACACTCATTTACATAAACCACACACTCATTTACATAAACCACACACTCATTTACATAAACCACACGCTCATTTACATAAACCACACGCTCATTTACATAAACCACACACTCATTTACATAAACCACATGTTCATTAACATAAACCACACACTCATTTACATAAACCACACACTCATTTACATGAACTGCATGATCATTAACATAAACCACATGGTTCATTTACATAAACTCACAAATAAACCTGAAATGGCTCCTCCCCCTCCACAGGTACACACCAGGCCGTGACTCCGCCCCCTTCCGCAGGTGTGGGCCCCGTGACTCCGCCCCCCTTCGGCCCCGCCCCTTCTCCAGGTGTGGGTCATGTGACTCCAGGGCCCCTCCTGCTGTTCGCTCAGAGCGGACGCATCGAACAAGTCCCACTGAGCGAAACCGGACCAGAACCAGATCGGACCAGACCCCTGCTGCACGTGCCAGTGAGTACAGGACTAAACCGGGACTGAACCGGGACTACACCGGGACTACACCGGGACTACACCGGGACTACACCAGGACTGAAACCAGGACTACACCAGGACTGAACCGGGACTGAACCAGGACTACACCAGGACTAAACCGGGACTGAACCGGGACTAACCAGGACACCAGGACTACACGGGAACCGGGACTACACCAGGACTGAACCAGGACTACTGAACCGGGACTAACCAGGACTAAACAGGACTAAACCGGGACTGAACCGGACTAGACCGGGACTGAAACCAGGGACTAAACCAAGACTGAACTGGGACTAAACCAGGACTGAACCGGGACTGACTGAACCAGGACTGAACCAGGACTGAACCGGGACTGAAACCGGGACTAAACCAGGGACTGAACCGGGACTGAACCGGGACTGAACCAGGACTGAACCAGGACTAAACCGGACTGAACCGGGACTGAACCAGGACTGAACTGGGATTAAACCAGGACTAAACCGGGCTGAACCGGGACTAAACAGGGACTGAACCAGGACAAACCAGGACTGAACGGGACTAGACCGGGACTAACCGGGACTGAACCAGGACTGAACCAGACTGAACCGGGACTAAACCAAGACTGAACTGGGATTAAACCAGGTCTAAACCGGGACTGAAACCGGGACTAAACCAGGACTGACCCAGGACTGACCCAGGTCTAAGTCCGGTCTTGGTCTCAGGACCGGGTGGTGATCGCTGTGGCCTTCGACTGTGTGGACGAGTTCGTTTATTGGACCGAGATCTCAGGTCCGAGCATCGGGAGAACGAGTCTGCGAGAGAGAGAAAGAGCACCCCAGACCCTGACGCGACGGGTGAGTGACGCGACGAGTCCTGACGACAGGTGAGTCCTGACGCGACAGGTGAGTCCTGACGCGACGAGTCCTGACGCGACGGGTGAGTCCAGACGCGACGTGGTGACGCGAAGTCCTGACGCGACAGGTGAGTCCTGACGCGACGCGACAGGTGAGTCCTGACGCGACGGGTGAGTCCAGACGCGACGGGTGAGTCCTGACGCGACGGGAGTGAGTCCTGACGCGACGGTGGGTGAGCGCGACAGGTGGTGGACGCGACGGGTGAGTCCTGACGCGACGGGTGAGTCCTGACGCGACAGGTGAGTCCAGACGCGACAGGTGAGTCCAGACGCGACAGGTGAGTCCAGACGCGACAGGTGAGTCGCACGACGGGTGAGTCCAGACGCGACAGGTGAGTCCTAGACGCGACGGGTGAGTCCTGACGCGACAGGTGAGTCCTGACGCGACAGGTGAGTCCAAACCAGGACCAAACCAGTGATTCCACAAACATAAGGACACATGGGAAAAGACGGTGTGTGCAGACGCTCAGACTCTGACATGTTTGGTCTGGTCCTGGTCCTGGTCTGGCCTTGGTCTGGTCCTGGTCCTGGTCCTGGTCTTGGTCCTGGTCCTGGTCTTGGTCTAACCCTCTTCTCTCTCCTCAGACCTGCAGAGTCCGGAGGGTCTGGCCTTGGACCCGGTCTCTCGGCTCCTGTTCTGGACCGACTCGGGTCTGGACTCGATCGAGGTCTCGAGACTCGACGGGACCCAACGCCGAGTCCTGATCAACACCGACCTGAAGAACCCCCGCGCCATCGTCACCGACCCGGTCTACGGGTAAGACCGGGATCTGACCCGGTCTACGGGTAAGACCGGGATCTGACCCGGTCTATCTACCCGGTCTCGGGTAAGACCGGGGATCGACCCGGTCTACGGGTAAGACCGGGATCTGCCCGGTCTACGGGTAAGACCGGGATCTGACCGTCTACGGTAAGACCGGGATCATAACCCGGTCTACGGGTAAGACCGGGATCATAACCCGGTCTACGGGTAAGACCGGGATCTGACCCGGTCTACGGGTAAGACCGGGATCATAACCCGGTCTACGGGTAAGACCGGGATCTACGGGTAAGACGGGATCTGACCGGTCTACGGGTAAGACCGGGATCATAACCGGGTTTGGTTTCAGAATCTGATCGAAAATATCACAAAAAAAAAAAAAATTTAATTGTTAAAAAAAAACAAGCAGAAAAAAAAAGACTAAAAAAGACGCTTCTGGTTCTGGTCCTGACCCGGTTCTGGTTGTGTTGCAGGAGGATTTGACCCGGTCTGGTTCTGGTCTTGACCCGGTCTGGTTCTGGTCCTGACTCGGTCTGGTTCTGGTCCTGACTCGGTCTGGTTCTGGTCTTGACCCGGTCTGGTTCTGGTCTTGGGTCCTTGGTCTGGTGCGGTCTGGTTCTGGTCCTGACTCGGTCTGGTTCTGGTCCTGACTCGGTCTGGTTCTGGTCTTGACCCGGTCTGGTTCTGGTCTTGACCCGGTCTGGTTCTGGTCCTGACTCGGTCTG